GGTTTGAAAAGAAGCCGCGGCCGCGTTCGTTGCGCTGTGCCGTTGAGCGGCTGCAGGGGTCCGGGTTGGTGAGGGGAACGGAGCCCGACGGAGCGTGGGGCCGCCTTTGCTCGGCGCAGGTCGGTGCCTGGGCCCGCCCGACGTGGCGCTGGTTCTCGGGTAAGTCCGTGCGGGTTGTGAGGCTGCTGGGCCCACGCTGGAGGGGGGAAGGTAGCGTGGGTGGCCTTCATGGCGGGTGGTGCTGAGGCCTCTTCCCTCCGCTTCCCCCTGCTGCGGTCGTGGTTGATAGGGTTACGGGGACTACAAAGGCACTGGGGGTGCGGGGGTGTGAAAGCTTTTCGGGACCGCTGTGGGGCGGGCAACTCGCGGGTAATGCTCGGCCCAGGGCCGGGACGCTGACAGAGCCGTGCGGTAGTGTCCCTATAAGTGTGGGGAAACAGTGCAAAGCCTTGAAGTGAAAGAGGGATATTTGCAGAGAGAAAATTTTCCTTTTAAAATTTTCTTAAATGTAAGGGCTGTTTTTTTTTGTGTTTTGTACAAGCTGCCAGGCTTATTGTGGTTTGGAGCCTTTTCTACACTTTCTTGTGCTGCCTGACAGTGCTACAGGCTGTGCATGTACTGCGACCCCACTTTGCCGTGTGTGCCACTCTGGATCCGTTTCTCTCGGGGCGGCTGCAGCTCTAAACTATTGTCACGATAAGCAGAGTTACAGTAACGTATCCCAGTATACAAGTACTTTTTGGTGACTACAGGCAGCCAATATAGCTGTTTACACCAGAATATTTAAGGTAAATTCAGTGCTGTATGCTACAATATGGAGGCAGATAGACAGTCTGCATCTTGGGTTTTGCATGCTGTCAGTGGTTGAATGTTACTGGTCTGAAGTGCTGTGTTCATAGGAACAATTTCAGTTACAGTTTTGCATACATAGCTTAATGTTTGTCTTGTGTCTTACATAAGAAGGCACAGAATGAGTGTGTAATCTTGATAAATCCCACTTTAGAATAAGCTTACACTTAAAGCAACCAAAATGTCAGTTATCTAACAAATATGTTTCCTGTCAAGGCCTGATAAGAGTTTTGCAGTGTGACTTTGTGCAGCTAATGAATAGGAGTTCAGGATCGTGACAGCACAGGTATGTTTCTTGTAGTAGCTTATTCATGGGGTAGTGTTTGTTCAAGCTGTGGTGATGTTTCAGGCCAACTTTTTCCTGCTTTTCATACAGTTGCCTGACAAAAACTGTAGATTAAACAAAGTAAACATTGCTGCTTACTTTATGTATAGCTTTACCTCATTTGCAGTCTGATGATGTTTGTCTAGCTTTGTGAAGGTCTGTTTCTGCCTTTACGAGCTAGATAGGAAGACTGAGCAGTTAAGTGTTTTGAGACTGAAGTGCAGACATGTTTCAGGTTTTATGCTGGAGGAGGAACAAAAATGTTATGGCTCCTTAATAGGTAACACTTCCTGAGCAAAGGGGATTTAAATCAGCCCTGGTCTGTCCATTGTTTTAATGAACACCACATGTTCTCCATTAGTATTTAGACAGACAATGTATATGCATCTCTGTGGCATAGACACAGGAATGTAGTGTTAGAAGACCATTGAATTGTTGTGTCCAAAGCTTCAAAACTGTAGGAAGCCGTGTGGTAGGTGTCTGATTGCCAGAACACTGCCTGCCATAGTCTGTGAGTAACTGCCCAATGAATAATTTTTAAATTTAATCTGTAACAAAAGCTGCCGAGTCACATCTGTAATATCACTGGAAAAAGCAATAGGAGAGTAAAGTGCAGACAAAATACACTGATAGTTTTATATAAAACACACTTTTTAAAGGTTATTCTGAAACTTACCTGTCTACTATCAATATTATATCCATTGCTCTCATTTTCTATAGCAAATTTTCACTGCCTGGATTCCAAGATGCATGAAAATCATTAAATTATGGATTAATAAATTAATTGTTGATCTGTAAAATGACTGAAAAAAATGACTAAAAAAGCAATACTGCAACTTATACTCTGGCATGAGGTCTTCTAATTTTCTGGTGTCCCCTTAATAACTAAAAGAATTTATTAGTCTTTGGAATGTTTGTGGATTCTGTCTTATATTAAGCTACATTGTGTTTATAATACCAAATATTTATCGGGTCCTGCGGAGATAACCATGAAGTCTGGGTTACTCTTGCAATGGCTCTTGTTCTAAATGGATACTATAATGGGATGATGAAGTGGATGTGGAACAACATGGGTTTTTTTTTTTTATTATTATATCTCCTTTGTCAGACATGGTTTTTAGCCAGGTTGTGGTATATTTGTAAGGCTTTTACCTGGTAAACAGTTGCTTTTCATTGAAAGAAGGGTGGCTGTTCTTGTTCCATCATGATGTGAACCCCTCTGCAGACCCTCTCCCCAACTATCAGAAACTTCCTATGTAAATTATGAATAGGATGAAGAACGCTTTCTTGTTAAAGAAACTGCAGCTATTGGTCGGAAGTTGACTTGTCTTTTAAGGGACTTCAGAAGCTCTACATGATGTGATCAAAGAGCAAAAAATAGTTTTATTTTATCTTGTAGGATGGAACAGACTTTGGATAATGAGAAATCTTTCAGACCATCCTATATTGCTAGTGTTGAGCCACATGAAAGAACAGGACCAGTAGATGTGGACGATATTAAAACAGATCTCTCTGATGAATTTTCTTTGGCTTCTTCAAGCTCAGACACAAGCCAGGTAAGAAAACTTTAATGTTTGCATGGTTTGGATTTTTTTAAAAATAAGCTTAGTCCTTTCATTGATAAGAATAATCAGAATTTTACAGAGAAGATGAAAAGCATCTTTAGTATGTTTTTTAATTTGGAGGAGATACATAGGATTAAACTTAAGTTGTGTGGCACTGCATTGATACCTGACCTCTGTTAATGAGGCTAATTGCTAGTTCAGAGCAGCTTAATGGTAGAATGTTTTTGTGGGTTTCATTCTTGATCTCTAGTTGGCCTGAGTGTAGTGTGAATACATATATGCTGCGAAATTATTAACTTGTAAGTTATCACAGTGAACTTCTGCAGGGGCCTGAGCATTTGTAAAAACTGGTGTAGTAAATGACTTCTGCTTCCAGTGTCATAAAATAAGTCAGTTCAAAATAGCCTGGTGAAAATATAACTGACTTAACATGCTAGTTATCAAACAAAGAATCTAGTCAAATTTGTAACTTTTTTTTTTTATTTAAGAGGAGCAGTTTGGAGTCTAAGGGACATATACAAGTTTGCCTGCGTGTTAGGCCACTTACGTCGTTGGAAAGAGAAAAGGAATTGCAGGTGTGACATTTATTTAGTTTAAAAATCCTTTAAATGTATGTTTGTTTGTTTTTCCTGTAAGCTAAGCTCTTTATATGCTTTTCATGCCTGCATTGTTTGTGCTTCCTTTTAATAGGACTGTGTTTCACTTGAAGACTCAACAAGCATCATCCTGAAGCCCCCCAAAAACTCTTTGAATCGATTAAGTGAAAAAACTGCTGGACAGATGATACAGAAGTTCACATTTTCACAAGTAAATGAATTGCCTCTTACAGTTTTTAATTTATTCCTGGAAAAAGTTGTTTAGCTTAATACCAAGTGAACTAGATTTTTAAACTGTTGATAGTCTTCAAGATTATAAACATAGAGAATTTAAAAGATTCTTTGAAAGTCTCTAACAATTGCTGAAACAAAATAAAGATGTTTCTTGATGTAATGCTCAGGTGTTTGGACCTGAAACAACTCAAGAAGAATTCTTTGAAGGTACCATGAAGCAACCAGTCCAAGATTTCTTAGACGGATATAATCGTCTTATTTTTACATATGGTGTTACAAACGCTGGGAAAACCTACACATTCCAAGGTATAAGTAGAAATATGCTCTTGAATGAACTTACTTTTTTTTTAAAGTGGGGATTACTTCTAGTAGAAATACTATAACTTTTTTCCTTTATTTAAACTCTAGACCCTATATATGGTCTTCTCTTGAATGTCAATAAATAGCCTTTGAAAGACTTCTTCCATAACAAGTATCACTAAACTTCCAACAGAGTTTGCATAACCACTGCCAGAGTTTATGTAAACATACAGTGATATTGCTTTGTAAAGCTGTAATAGTCACAACCAGGTGTGTGTGACTTTCTTTTTTCCTCCAAGTATCTAGAATGTCAGGGAGGAGGAGGAGTTAGGAAAATCCATCTTGTATATAGCAGGATACTTTTTATTATTAGCCTTATAAAGGTCATATGCATCTTCTATGCACTGTCTTCATCTAAGGAATAGTATTTGAGTCTGTTTCCATTATTATAGGTAGAGAATAAATCTTTTGAAACATGTTTGATTATTTCCGAGTATTTGTCTTGCCTCAAGTTTCTGAGCTTATTAATAATATCCTAGGAGACCTTGTCTCCTCATGCACTGTTTCGGTACTGTTAAAGCTCAATATCCTTTCTGGTCAGAAGATGTATTCTTTAATTATTTTACACTATATTTATTTTACCACTTTACATGGGAAGTAGTAGAAGGACAATGAGTTTTGTGCCATATGAAACTGATCTTTATTGAAGTGCCACTGTATTCCAAGTGATCTGCTGTTAGGTGGATTATAACTAAAGACTACTCCCAGTACTTTCAGATATCATTAATCTGGAGCAATAATGGCATGCTCTTTCTTGTCCTAATAAATAATAGTTAAATAACAAAAAACAAAATTCCGAAAGTGTACAATTCCGCCATGCTTGACTGGTCTGGGGTATATTGCATGGTGTGGTTTTTCAAGAATTTTTGATTCATGTGTTTTCAAACTCTGGAAGCTTTTTCATGGTATTATATTTTTAGGACTTAACTATCAACTCATGATAGGAATTGGCAGGGCAGAATGTTGCCTCCTGTGTGCCATAGTTTCCTCTTCTGTTGTTGTCAGTTTTGTCACTATAGGCTTTCCACTTTGGTATTACACAGAAGCCTATATTTAATCAATGACAAAGGACTTAAGTGAAGGATGAGGCAGTTTTTAAGGACTGGTCATTGTTTACCAGTGACTGTTTTGTTCATGTTAAGTTGAATTACAAGTGGCGTTACACAAATGAAAAATGGATGGAGAGAAGATAAGGAGAAATAAATGTAAGGCAACAAATGTAACTGGTAAAATCTCATCTGTCTCAGCAGTAGAAGAAATTATCAAGGCTGGAAGATGATGCTGTCAGTCTGAGATAGGACAGTATTTCTCTTCCACTACCTCCTCTCTTCCTTTCTTTTCTCTGGTTTAGAAATCAAAGTTAAGTGAACTTTCTTTAAACTTGCATCAGGGTTCGGAGAGATCAAGCATGCACTGAGGCTTTTATTTGACTCATTTTTGCCTTTCAAGTGCAAAACTGGTGTGCTCTGAGAAACTGTTCTGGGACTGGAAAAGGTTTGTCTTCACAAGGCTTCTGGAACTTTTTTGTGGGGTCTGTGGAATTGCTACAGGACTGCAGCTGAGAGATCAGTTATCAGTTGTATTTCAAGATTACTTGAGTGAAGACAGCCTATGAAATGCAATTGAGAAATTGCAACTCTATAAATGTCTGTTGATTGTGGTTTGATTTTTTTCTTTTTTTAACCCTCTGAAGGCTAAGCTTATGCAGAATATCCTAGCAGTTTTTGTTTTGTTTTATGCTCATTACTGTCCTAAGGGCTAGAGTGTGAGCTGTTTCTGAAAAGTATTTGGCTTTCAGCACACTCTAATGATGTTTCTGTGAAGTTGAGAATGCAAGAAAGCCACTGCTTCATGCTGTAAGTGGCCTCCAAAGTACTCATGTATGTCCTGAGATTAGAATTGCTTATCCTTCTGTCTTCAGTTATCTGTATACCTTGTTCACAGTAATAATCAGGATCTTTCTTTTGTATATTGCTTTCAGGGACAGAAGATGATGTTGGTATTCTGCCAAGGACTATGGATATGTTGTTTAAAAGTATCCGAGGAAAGCTGTACACAGCAATGGATCTCAAACCCCATCGGTGTAGAGATTATATAAAGCTGACTAAAGAACAAGTTAGAGAAGAAATCACTATTAAAAATTCAATGCTTCGCCTAACAAAAGAGGTAGAGGAGCACTTCTTTCTATATTGAAGAGCATGCACATCTTTAGATCTCAATGTAACCCTCTTCATTCTTCAACAGGAAGAGACTATCTATATTTAAGCATGGATATGTCTCTCTGCTGTTGGCCACCTATTCAGATTAGCAGTAAAGTGAGCAATAGAGCTGATGAAACCTGTTCCCCTGTGGATTTTTGCCTTGTAACTGAACACATGATAGAATGTAAACTCTTAAGCTTTTTTTCTATAGCTTTGACACCTGGTAACTTATCCTCTGGGGTTACTGGTGCTTAATAAGGACTGAATGCAAACAGTTTCTCCATCTGTGGGGACACTAGTAGGTCTGCTCCTTTAAACAATTTATTGTCTTTCAGGATACTTGAAAGAAATTGATGGTTTCAAGGTTGTTCCCCTCTTCTAGTTTGGCAAATATCCTCAAAGGACGCAAACTTTTTTTTTTTTAAACAGCAGAGCTATAAAGCCAGTGGACTTGTAAAGATTTAAAATTAAAATGGGTTTCTGCTGGACTTTATTCTTAAACAGATCACTGAGCAGTCCAGAAATACACTTAACTTTCATGAGTTGCCTGGAATTCTAAAGCTGTATAGTCCAATTACAGTTATGGGGATTTGTATTTTGTATAAGCATACCTTTTTCTTGGTGTTTTTAATTCTGAAATGAATGGAAGGAAAAAAGCTCTGAGCACTTACTAGAAATTGGAAGAATAAATATGTTATTGTGCTTTTTTATTTTTAGTGAAAAGAATTAAGCATCTCCTTAGTAATATTCTGGGTTATAATGGGGAGTTCTGGCTGTTGTGGGATAGAATATATCAGTTACCTTGACTTTTTTATTTTTTAATCCATGACTTAGTTAACTGAACTCTTCCAGTATGGAAGGCAGGTGGCAGCAAAATTCTTCAAGACTTCACTTCAAAAGCGCACACACATGTAAAAATCTAACTCTAGCAGTCTTTAAGACTTCAGAAAAACCTGTCATGTGTGTTTGAATACACACATATGTCCCCTGTAGTTTCTAAAACTGGTTGTAAGAACAATACTTCAGCTTACAAATTTGGTGGCAAATTTGCATCTACTTCAACAGAGACAGGTTAGGGTGGGTGTTTATGTGTGTAAAGCTTAAACCTAAAGTTTTGATTACATAAGTATTTGACTATTTCAGGAATTGCTTCATGGAATTCCAGCTTTATATGAAATATACTCTTGACAAAACGTTAAACCTGACTGGAGCCACACTTGTTTTCTTTAATCTGTGTTTCTTCTCTTAAGCATACTGGTTTTGGTAGATGAGTTGTAATTCTTTGCGGTTCTGTGCCTAAAAAAAAACCAACTGAACAAAAAAACCCACCACCAAACAGAAGACTGGGAACAGAGTGTATATGTGTGAACCTTATGAGCTCTAGCCATAGGGATTTGTTTTACTTTTTTTTTTAAGAGCTTAGCTGAAGAATACTTTTCTTCTTTCTAAAACCTGGACTTTAGAAGTGTTTCACAGTAAAAATGCAGCATGAAGCAATAAGTTGCTCACTTAATTTCTTAAGTGAATGAGTGTTCTACATTCACCTTTTGCTTCTGAGGGTTGACCTAGTAACCCATAAGATACAGAATCCTGAATTAGCAAAATATCAGTAATAAATTTCAGGACTCTCTAGATTCATCAGGTTAAGAGTAATGTGTAAACTGCAACTAGACTCCTGCAAATCATCCTGTTAACTTGCCCTGTTTCTGTGTAGGCTCCTACCCCTTTGTTTTTCTGTGGATAGTTTTCTGGTTCAGCAAGCTGAAATGCTGTATACCGTGATAGGGCCTGATGTAAGGGAAGTGTCGGGGATGAGTATTAAGGTAAGAACAACCCTTTTGATAGGAGTGTACAGGTGTGTTGAACTAGGCATGATGTATTGCCAGGGTCTTTGTATTGGTATACTGCGATGACACTGTCTTCCTATCTACTAGGACAACAGGGCTGTTAGAAAAGTAACTGGTGATGTACTGGCAACCATACATCTTAAAGTCTCTGTTCTCTTTTGTAGGTGGACCATCAAAATAGCAGCAACAACAAAGCACCAGTTGATTCTAAGGGTATGTTTTATATTAAAGAATTGCTGTTTTGTTGGTAAAGAAGCTTTCTTAAGGTCAATAACTGACTTCCGGCCTATGTTAATAGTAAAATGACTGCTTGGCATTTTTATGACTGAATTGGATAGTGAGCAAGTTATCTGTGTGGAAAACACAAGGATAAAATGGATAGGAGAATACCTGAACGGGCATTAAATGAAATATAGCAAGAAAAAGTAGTACTACTTATGCTATGGGCCCTAGCAGTATCCTGACAGGCTTTTAGAGTACCAGTATGTAATTAGATAAACTGAATTCCAGCGTTTAAAAACTACCTAAATACTAGGTTTGATTTAAGAAGTCAGAATGAGGTGTAATTGTCAGTTTAATGCTCTGTCTTTTAAAGACATTGAAGAGTCTTGAATAATTCTAACCAAGCTGTATATGTTTGATAGAGTTTGAAAGTGGTAAAGGAGTGGTAGAGTAGGTGTTCCTTGCAAATATGTAGGATATGTGACTTGCAGATACTTAAGAAAAGGGGGTAAAAGTTCAATGGAGTCTTGTCTGGAGTAAGTGTTGGGTTTTTTGTTGTTTTTTTTTAGAAGGCTGTTGTAATACAGATTTTCACTTACTAATTTTTTTAATTAAATTCACTTTACTAGGCCTGTATTGACTAGTAATATTTTTGTACTTGGCAGATTTGGAAGAACTGTTAAAAGGCTCGGAACAATCTAGCACAACTGTGAAAAATTACGTGAAGTTTTCTATTTGGGTTTCATTCTTTGAGATTTACAATGAATGTTTTTATGATCTACTGATTCCTACGTCAAATGACAAGAAAAGAAAAACACTACGCCTTGCTCAAGACATCAAGGGGTGTTCTTATGTAAAAGGTGATTAGAATACATTGCAAGTTGCCAAATGTATAACTTGAAAAGTCAGTCTTCCTGTAATCTTTCTTTCTAGATTAGAAAACTCCTGACCGCATTCACTGTGGCACTAAAATTTCCTCCTTGAGCATGAAAGGCAACAATCTACATGCATAGGAGTATTGTACCTTTAATAGAGTTTTCTCTGTTTGTGACTGTAGCTCTTAAGCCTGCATGCACTCCACTGTTTCGATATTTCTTTGAAATTGGAGAGCTACTGAAAACAATTAACAAATTTGTTGGTTTGGTGTTTTCTATTTTCTTAAAAGACTGAGTTCTGAACTATAGTTATAATTGGCTCAGCAATTTTGGGGTTGTGTTTTTAGTATTTTCTGTATAGAAGACTTCAGAAAATATATGCGAAAGGTCATTCTGACTACGGATTACACTTTACAGTACCCTGGTTTACTCAAACCTGTGATATAATTTGTTTTGGGTTGGGAGTTAACTGAAATACCAGTTCAATGTTGGTTTCTGGCCATGGAAAAAATAGGGTTTGAAACATGTTTAATTGTTACAGGTTCTTTGGACAGTCAAGATAGCAATTCTAGATCAAAGGCTCTTTTGTAGGTGTTTGGCCTGCTGCTTTTGTCTTTCATATGCCAAACTGTAGATTCAGAAAGCTGAATTGGACAATAAACCAAACTCCTTCATTTCTTCAAAAACTAGAGAAATGTGTGAAGTAGGAAACAGTTTGGTTTGAGCTATGCTTCACCATAATCTTTTTCTGTAAAGCTTGGAAGTGTAAGGCTGCTCCTGATGTTATTGAGGAAAACCAGTTAATGATTCACTCAATTTGAATGGAACGTATTTTAGTGTGCTAATAGGACAAAATTATGTGATATGCTTGTCCTTCTGTTCCCATGGAAGGAGGAATCTTGATCTTACTTGTCGTCATATAATTTCTGTCTGAAGCAGGCTTAGTAAAACAGTTGTACACCTCAAGTAAATGTATTATTCTTGGTATGCATATGTTACCCCTCAATCACTTCTTTCTGATAATGATATTTCCAAGACTATCATGTTTGTCCTTCCTACAGATCTGCAGTGGGTTCAGATTTCCAATTCTAAAGAAGCTTTTAGACTTCTAAAACTGGGGTTGAAACACCAGAGTATTGCAAGCACAAAACTAAATACTTCCTCCAGCAGAAGGTGAGAAATACTTGGAATAACATTGGGCATAGGATGGTCTGTGGGAGGAAGGAGAAATTGAAATATAACTTGTGGCTTTTAGGAGGGGAAGAGGCTTTACAAGCTCTAGATTTCTGGGTTTCAGCTTTGGCATCCTTTAGTGATGTGTGACCCAACGCTTTAAGCCAAAATGATTCAATTATTCACTAAGAAATATGTACAGAAGTTAACAGTGTTTTATCAAATACTCTCTTTCAAGCAAGAGCACTTAGACTTTAGATGAAATAAAGTTGAGGAAAAAGCAAAATGATACATAAGTATCTCTTTAAAAGTGTATCTGATAGAGTATATCCTTAGATATGTTGACAGATTCAACAATGTTTTGAACAGATGTTGTGGAGGCTAAAAGTATTTTGAAGGTATTTGTCTACTTTATCACTTCTCTGATTTAAACTTCTCCTTTATAGTCACAGCATATTCACAGTTAAGATTCTAAAAATTGAAGATTCAGGAGCACCACGAGTGATGCGAGTCAATGAGTAAGTTCAGAGCAGAGTGCCCCTCTTCTTTTGTGGTGAAGTTGTCAGTTATCTTCCATGTTGGTGTACTGGTACTGCACTATACACCCAGTGCTCCCTGGTAGTCTCATGCATGTGTAGTGGCTTCCCCACTCACGCAGTACTTAGGCCTCTGCCTCACGCCATCAGGTGGCAATGCTGTTCTGTATCTTGTCCCCTCTGTTCAGCACAATGTTCCACACTGCTATAGTCCTGAATTCATGTGAGTCCTCAGACGGAAGAGGACAGGGGAGGGGTGGGAAATAGGAAGCATGTTGGGAAAGGGTTTGGCAGGAAGTAGTGTGAAATTTGATTGGGGAAGCAACATTGAAAAGGATGGAAGTGTTCATGCATATGAAGATAAATAAAGTCTTCCTCAAAGAAAAGTGATCATTTTCAGAAGTGAGTAATTTGTGCATGTTCCAAAGTAGATGAAGTGAATTTTCCTTATCTGCTTTCAGATTGTCATTGTGTGATCTTGCTGGTTCAGAAAGGTGTACCAAGACCCGCAATGAAGGTGATAGATTGAAAGAGAGTGGAAATATAAACACCTCTCTTCTGATTCTAGGCAAGTGTATTAATGCACTCAAGAACTGTCAACAGTCAAAGTAAGTCCTTTTACAAATTGGAAACTGGCTGTGGCTTTTAGGGATTGCTTACAATGTTTAAAACTTACTGTTTACAGTATACAATGCTAACACTAAGTCTTTGGTAGAAAAGATGCATAGACTTGCAAAGTCTGTACCGTAAATCTACCAAAGTTATCTTGCCTTGTTTTGCTCTTTAATTAAATCACTCCAATTCCTTTAAACATGCTATCATAGATTTTGGCAGTTAACTTAACTTCTGAGCTTGGCTTATCAAACAAACTTTAGAATAAGTTTAAAACCCCCTTCTCACTAGTGTCATAGTTAAGAGTTAAATTTTCAGGCTTTTATTACTCCTGTGTGAACTAACTACATTTTCTGTGTTCTTCTAGTGTAACGTTTTTCT